TATTTGCATCAAAGGACTCTTTTTAAAAATTAAAAAAATAAGATATAAAATGTTTCAGAGCATCTGACCTCATGCCACATTCCTTCTCCCCCAGGTTAGCCACAACTCTGAAATGGGTGTGCATTATTCTTTTTTCCACATTTTTTATTGTTGTTCAAGTACAGTTGTCTCCATTTTCCCCCTACTATGCCCCCCGACCTTAGCCATTTTTCTTTCATTATAAATGTGCATGTTGGAGTGATTTTTGATACAAAAAAACTTCTGGTTCATGCATATGTTTCCCTTAAAAATCAGTGTCTCTTTTTCCAAAGACTCTGTTACAGAATTGGCCTCCTCTTGCACCAAGGAGCATAACTGTTTAAGAGAAATGTTTAAAATGTATTACTCAGATGGATTTAGTAAAAATGAAAAAAAAAGAGAAGACTTTCTCATAATACTCAAGCACTGGCTAAAGAGTTTAGCAGGGTCCTTGGCAGTAGGGAGACACTAGTGATTTTGAACATCTGAGAGGGCCAAATACTGGGCATAGTTTTCCTCCTGTGGTCTTTGCAGCAACCCTATACAATGGCTATTATGGTACATTTTTCATATCTAAGGAAACTGAGGCTTAGTTGTAGTACAAAGTGGGACCCAAAAAAGAGAATTTATTTATAAAAATTGTATATTTATTTTTACATGTTTAAACTTCAGTCACATTCAAAGACTCTCCATTTGATGCTATACACCTATCAAGACGTTTTTTCCACTGCTCAAAACAGTTTTTGAACTTGCTGATTTTGATGCCTTTTAGTGCTTCTGCCATTTTTGGTTTTACCTCCTTCACATCAGCAAAATGTTTGCCTTTGAGGACTTTTTCATCCAGAGGAACAAACAAAAAAGTCACTTGGGGCAAGATTGGGTGAATAGAGAGGGTGAGGTAGGAGGCAATTCATGCATTTTTGGTCAAAAAACTGCTAAATACTTAGTGTGGTATGGGCAGATGTGACCCTAAATACCCATCATGAAATGTGCAAACACACTGAAAGAGTCAAAAAAAATCGATGAATCCAAACACAGCCTCTCACAATAACACCAGTCAGTACACTGATACAGATGGGTTCCCAGAACACTCACCTAGCAGGGGAAGCCTGTACTACAAGGGGCCCTCCTGTAGGAGATAAGTCTGGGGTTTGGGGTCCCCCTTCATAAATTACTCAACACAGTAAGTTGTGCAACCAGTAAGTACTAAAGTAGGATTGTGATTCAGATTTCTGTATTCCAAAATTCCTATTTGTTCACAAACACTACTGGTTCCCAAGTCTTCACATTTCTCCCTTTACTAAGTGTGCATATTAAAAATTAAATAAGTAACTTTATTCTGTTTATGCTGAAAAATTGTAGAAAAGCAAAACAGAGAAAAAAATGCAAAACTCAAACTTTATTTTCTGCTAGAGTAAGAGATAAATATAATCTCACATACTGTTCAGATTTCAAATTAAATACAACAGTATTTGTATTGGAGCAATAAGTGAAAAAAAGGAGAATCAAAAGACATGCGGATAGAGTACCAAGGACACTTAGAAAATACCAGCAAAAATTCATTTCTGCAGATGAGAGGCTCACCCTGAAAGAGCAGAGTGCCTACTTAAAACAGATATAGGAACCAGGCTAGCAGGGCTGTTGGCAGGAAACTGAACATCAAACTGTTAGTGAGGCCATGGGGATGGTGTTGTTTTCATACATTGCTGGTGGGAGTACAAACCGTGAAGACAATGTGTAAAAATGTATCAAAAATCCAAATAAAATACCTTTTGATCCAACAGTGTCACTTCTGGTTCATTTATGTGTAGTATGCAGGCACACATAAATGAAACTCAAAAATGTACATATATAAAGAATGATTTTTAAATTATAATAACGGTAAATTAGAAATAATCCAAGTATCCATCTGTTGACTATCACTTAATGAAAGTGTGGTACTTATCCACATGTCATATTATGAAACTGTAAAAAGAGATAAGGAATCTCTCCATAAACTACAGGGTGTGGCAAAGTAGAATTATAGTTGAAAAACTGTAAATCTATAGATTTAACACAATCCCTATCAAAATTCCATGGTTTTCTGCAGACATAGACAAACTTATTCTACAATTCATGTGCAAAAGCAAAAAAATAGCTATTTTTCTATTTTTAAATATTTTATTATTGTTCTATTACAGTCATCCCATTTTTTCCCCATTGCTCCCCCTGGCCCAGCCCACCCTCTATCCAACTCCCACAGCCTATTGTCCATCCCCACCCTATTTTCCATGTCCATGGGTCACTCATACATATTCTTTGACTAGTCCCTTCCCCTTATTTCCACCTGTATCCCCCTCTCCCTCCCCTCTGGTTGCTATCAGTCTGTTCCTTGACTCTATGTCTCTGGTTCTATTTTGCTCATTAGTTTATTTTGTTCATTAGGTTCCTCTTACAGGCAAAATCACATGGTATCCATCTTTCACCAACTGGCTTATTTCAATTAGCATAATATTCTACAGTTTCATCCATGCTGTCATGAAAGTTAGGAATTCCTTCTTTCTGGTGAGTAGTATTCCATTATATAAATGTACCACAGTTTTTTAATCCACTTATTTACTAGTGAGCACTTAGGCTGTTTCCAGACTTGGCTATTGTAAATAACACTGCTATGAACACAAGGATGCATAGGTTCTTTTGAATTGGTGTTTTGGGAGTCTTAGGGTATAATCCCAGCAGTTGAATAGCTGGGTCAAAAAGCAGTTCCATTTTTAGTTTTTTGAGGAAATTCCATACTGTTTTCCACAGTGGCTGCACCAGTCTGCAGTCCTACCAACAGTGAGCTAGGGTTCCCTTTTCTCTGCATCCTTGCCAGCACTTACTGTTTGTTGATTTGTTAATAGTTTTTTTTTGTTGATTTGTTCATTTTGTTTATGTGATATATTATGTTTATTGATTTATGAATATTGCACCTTCCTTACATCTCTGGGGTGAATCTCACTTATTCATTGTGTATGATCTTTTTAATATATTGCTGGATCCAGATTGCCAATATTTTGTTTAGGATTTTAGCAACTATATTCATCAGAGATATTGGACTGTAGTTTTCTTCCTTTGTGTGTCTTTACCTGGTTTTGGAATTAGGAAAATACTGGCCTCATAAAAACAGTTTGGGAGTCTTCTCTCTTCTTGAATTTTTTGGAATAGTTTGAGAAAGATTGGAGTTAGTTCTTCGTTAAATATTTGGTATAATTCTTCTGTAAAACCATCCAGTCCAGGACTTTTGTGTGCTGGAGTTCTTTGATTAGTGCTTCAATTTCACTAGCTGTTATTGGACTATTCAGGGTTTTTTTAAAGATTTTATTTATTTATTTTTAGAGAGGGAAGGGAGGGGAAGAGAGAGAGAGAGAGAGAGAGAGAGGGAGAGAGAAACATCAATATGCAGTTGCTGGGGGCCGTGGCCTGCAACCCAGGCATGTACCCTGACTGGGAGTCAAACCTGAGAAACTTTGGTTCACAGTCCTCACTCAATCCACTGAGCTATGCCAGCCAGGGCACTATTCAGTTTTTCTGCTTCTTCTTGATTCAATTTTATAAGATTGTACATTTCTGGAAATTTGTACATTTTGCCCATGTTGTCCAATTTCTTAGCATATAGTTTATAGTAATTTCTTACAATCTTTTCTATTTCTGTGGTAACTTCTTTTTCATTTTGGATTTTATTTATTTTGGCCCTCTCTCTTTTTTTCTTGATGAGTCTTGTTAAAGGCTTGTCAATTTTGTTTATCTTTTCAAAGAACCAGCTCCTGGATTATTGATCCTTTGAATTGTTTCTTTAGTCTCTATGTCATTTAATTCTGCCCTGATCTTGATTTTTTTCCTTCCTTCTACTCACTCTGGGCTTTGTTTGCTGTTTTTCCTCTACTTCTTTGAGAGTAGGGTTAGGTTGTTTATTTGAGATTTTTCTGTCTTCTTTAGGTAAGTCTGTATTGCTATGAACTTCCCTCTCAGGACTGCCTTGGCTGTGTCCCATATGTTTTGGACTGCTTTGTGTTCACTTTTTATTGTTTCCACAATCTTTCTGATTTCTTTCTTGGTCTCCCTGTTAACCCATTCATTTTTTAATAACATATTATCCAGTCTCCATGCATTTGAATGTTTTTGAGTTTTTCCCTTGAGGTTGGTTTCTAGTTTCAAGCCATTGTGATATGAGCTCAATGCTTGATATGATTTCAATTTTCCTGAATTTGTTGAGACTTGTTTTGTGTCCTGCCATGTGGTCTATCTTCAAAAATATTCAATTTGCATTTGAAAAGAATGTATATTTTGCTTCTTTGGGGTGAAAGGTTCTGCATATATCAATTAAGTCCATTTGATCCAGAGTGCTTTTCAATGCCATGATATTCTTATTGATTTTGGAAGATCTATCCATTGTTGACAATGGGGTATTAAATTCCCCTATGATGAATATGTTGCTGTCGATATTTCTTGAAGTCCTTCAAGTTTTCCCTTATATATGTGGGTGCTCCTATGTTGGGTGCATATATGTTTACAAGGGCTATATCTTCCTGACAGATGACTCCCTTAAGTATTATATCATGTCCTTCCTTGTCTCTTTTTATAGCCTTTGTTTTGAAGTTTATTTTGTCTGATATAAGTATTGCTACCCCTGCTTTTTTTTTCATGTCCGCTACTTAGAATGTTTTTTTCCATCCTTTCACTTTCAGTCTGTAGATCTTTTCTTCTGAGCTGGGTCTCTTGTAGACAGTGTATATGCAGGTCATGTTTTCCTATCCACTCAGCTACCCTATGTCTTTTGATTAGACCATTTAATCCATTTATATTTAAGGTTATCATGGATAGGTACTTATTCATTGCCATTTTTTCCTTTGTATCTGTGTTCCTCTCTCTCGCTCTCTTTTCTTCATCTTCTTAAAGCAGTCTCTCTAGCATTTCTTGCAATGCTGTTTTGGTGGGGATATACTCTTTTAGCCTATTTTGTCTAAAAATAGGAACAGTTCACGATTTGTGTGTTATCCTTGCACAGGGGCCATGCTAATCTCTGTTTTGTTCCAATTTCAGTGTATATGCTGATGAAGCAAGCACTATTTTACTACTTTGAATAGCAATACAATTTTGATAGAGAAGAATAAATGTAAAGAATTACTACACTCAAAGTTAAAGTTTACTATAAAGTTACAGTACTATAAAGCTAAGCATACAAGCAGCAGTATTGTCAGAGAGATCAACACATATCAAAGAACAAAATAAAAAACCCAGAAATCACCCCATACCATTAATAGCCAAATGATTTTTGATAAAGGCACACAAGTGATTCAATAAAAGAAGGATTGTCTTTCAACAAATGGTGCCTGAGCAACTGGACATCCACAAGCAAAAAAAAACAAAAACAACAACTGAACTTCAACATAAAGCTCACACTTTAATAAAAAAATTAACTCAAATTGGATCATAGATTTAAATATAACACATAAAACTAACACTTTCAGGAAAAAATGATGAAAGAAAATATTCAGGACCTAGGAATAAAAGAGATTTTAGACTTGACAACAAAAACACAAACCAAAAAAGAAAAAAAAATAGCAAATTAGATCTTATCAAAATTAAAAACTTTTACTCTGTGAAAATCTATATGAAATCCATACCAAGACCAGCAACAGGAGAAAATATTTGCATATTGCATATCATACAAATACCTTATATCTAGAATATGTGAGGAATTCTTAATATTCAACAGTAAAAACCACAAAAACAAGAATCCAATTATTAAATGAACAAAGATGTAAAAAGATATATCACCAGAGGTAACATTCAAATGGCAAATAACCACATGCTTACATCACTAGCCATTAGGGAAATTCATATTGAATCCACAGTGAGATGTTACTATGCAACTATCAGAATAACTAACAGATAGAGGGGTAACACTAAATGCTAGTACTCATGCATTGGGGAAGTAAAATAGTACATTAATTCTAGAAAATAGTTTTGCAGTTTCTCATAAACCTAAACATGAACACTCCATATCACCTAACAATTTTACTCTCAGGTATTATCCCAGAGAAATGAAAACTTACCTTAGGACTAAACTTTGTACACAAATGTTTTTAACAGTTTTACTTGCAAGAACCAAAAGTTGAAAGCAACTCAAATGTTCTTCAATAGGTAAATGGTTACACAAACTATGATACATACTTACTGTGCAATGCTACACAGCAATGGAAAGGAACTAACTATTGATCCATGTAGCAGCTTGGATGGATCTCAAGGGGAATATGCTGAGTGAAAAAAGCCAATCTCAAAAGGTACAGACTGTAAGATTTCACATATATAAGATTTTTGAAATAAAATTTTTGAGATGGAGAACAGATTAGTGGTTCTCAGATTTCACTAATTTTATACAAATGCATGTAAAAGTGGTTCAAATGCAAACATGCTCTATCGACTGCATCTATGTGACTGTGCTGCATTCGGCACAGTGCTGTGTCCCAAGCAGCACATTATCAACGGGAAAACGGGATGGGGGGATAGAGACCTCCCTGTACCATTTTTGCCCTTTCCTGTGCATTTATAATTATTTCAAAATAAAGCTTTTAAAAACTGGGTAACACTGTGTGTAATATAGTATTGTTGGGTGGGAGATAGGGAGGCAGAGAAAATAACATCTACATTCGGTGTTGCTTATGTATGCAGCATTATGTGTGCACAAAGCAACTCCGAGGGGATGTTAATAACCGTGGTTACCTGACTGTGTGTCGGCAGGGAACTGTGGCACTGGGAGACAAGTGTACGAAAAAATATTTTAAAAATTTTTGAACCATTGTAACCTATTTTTTATTTTAAACATTAAATCATTATTACTCTATGCATAAAACATAATGATAATGACCATGCATTATCTCTATCATTCATAAATAGATATTTAACAACAAAAGAGTAAAATGGCATAACCTTGGATTTAAGGCTGCTATTCAAATTTAAGTAGGGCTACCTTACAAAAATTTTACATCATCATTGTTATATCTCTTATTTTCTGTGAATTTAAGGGAATTTGACCATTGGTCAGTGCTTGACTTGGAAATGATGATAATAAAACACTGCATTTGCTCACACCAATTTTACCCAGAGGCCAATGTGAATCTGTCACTTTGGATCTGCAGTCCTGGAGTTTCAGCAAATGCAAAGCATTGTTCTCTTGGACTTTAGAAAGAGAAAACCCTACAGGGATCCTCTAAATAACCTCTATGCATTGGAATAAAATATTCCTTTCTGTGCTTTGTGTTTCTTGAGAAATAGAAGTGTAGTGCTATATGTACATTTCCCCTCCCCTCAAAAAATAATGAAAAAAAACAGAGGACATGGAAAATTCACATGCCAAAACTCAAAAGACTTCTTGAAGATAGTAGAGAGCAAATAAGGGGCCTCAATAAAAAATGCACAGGCAACATTTAACCACAATTTATTAACGCTGCATACAACAGTAGAACTCCAGCCACCTCAGATACTAATGAAAATCAATAAATGTCAATGTGTGTAGTACTGCTATAATGGAAAATCTGCATTTTTATTTATCTGCTAGAACAGAGAAAGGAGAAAGATGGTGACTTGGGCTAATAAATTATTAGAGATGCTCTGAGGTTATCCACATTCAAAACTGCAATGTTCTGCTAAGTTAAAGAACCATTTTCTTGGCGTAGCTCAGTGGATTGAGCGCGGGCTGGGAACCAAAGTGTCCCAGGTTCGATTCCCAGCCAGGGTACATTCCTGGGTTGCAGGCCATAACCCCCAGCAACCGCACATTGATGTTTCTCTCTCTCTATCTATCTATCTCCCTTCCTTCCCTCCCTAAAAATAAATAAATAAAATCTTTAAAAAAAGAGAACCATTTTCTATGCATCTAAACATTATCTATCAAGTTTATTTTAATAGAAGCTGTCTATACATTTACTTTTCTCATTGCTTCTTTTATTATATCTACAAAGCTGTGACCAGTTCAGCCAATATTTACAGGAAAAAGGTATAGGTTTTAAGGAACTATGAAAGCAACTTAAAGAGCTCTAAATTAATGATATTTTTAAGTACACATGGGAACACACAATGGTGTTAGCAATTCCACAGTCTGGCATTATTAAGTCAAATGTCTTGAATTTCAATGAAAGCAACCCAGTGTGGACAAGCAGAGGATGTGCAGGAAGGGTGCTCTGAAGTGGAAACATGTCTGGGAGCCTGTTCCTTTTGTTTCCATTGAGACCATTGTCATTATCAACATGCCTTCCAAGTTGCAAGACATTCAAAGCAGTAATTCAAAGTGACCTCTGGGCCCCAGCCACTCTTCCCCCTCATGCGATCGGCCACACCGGCACCTCCTCAGGTGTCTGCTCCAACACCCCTTTGTTAAAGAGGCCTCCCTTGACACCATTCACTGAAGGAGGATGCACTGTGTCCAGTTCATAGTTTCTTCACAGCACCCATCACCATTACCTACTTCGTATTTACTTGGTTGTTGTCTGAGTCCCCTCAGGAATGTCAGCTCTCTGAGCACAGGGATCAGACAGTTTGGTTCACTTCTGTGTATCCAGCATCTGAGGGCGGGGAGAAGTGACACAAGAAATCCTCCTATTTAAACCTCACAATGCTTCTGTGAGTAGGAGGATGTTAACCAGTCTAATCAGTGGGAAAGTGTGGAACTCAAACCCATGTCTCTGAGCTCTAAATTCCATGGGTTTTTTCCCCCAGCATATCACATAGCCTCTCACTTTGATAATGTTACTTTGAATCTAGAAGCACTTATCAAATCTTTATGGCGATGGGACATTGTGAAGGCTAATTGTCTACTTAAACAGACCATGTATTCTTTAATGATTTGTTATATAATTCCTCCTTCATGTGCACAAGGAAGGGCCCTTTTTCAGAATGATATCAATATATGTAGGCATTTGTGTAATTAGGAATAATATGGAAACAACCAAAAAAACAAAAGCCTTGACACTCCTTAGGATAACCCTAGCTCCTGATACAAAGACATTAATAAATCTATGAAGTTAGCCACAGTCACATAACAATTTAGCAAAAAATTACTGATTATCTTTTGTTGATCAAACGCAATGCTAAGACCATGTCGTTACAATAATGACTGACTGATGGTCCACACCATTAAAAGAGTTAAATCCACTTAAAGATACAAAATATAAACATAATTAAATACGACAGAATTAGAGGCCACTATAAGTTGCTATAAGAGCAAAAGGAAGTAGTAATCAGTTCTGCCTAGGAGGATCCAGCAAAGCAGTCGCAGTTTGAGCTGCATCTCAGCAGGCCTTCCAGGTGCACTAGCAACAGAGGGAGTAGCACATAAACAGAGCTGGGAAAGGGCACACAAACATGCAGCCCAGCAACTAGAATATTTAATGTGCCTGGGCATTGGGTGCACTAGGAGGAACAGCTGGAGATGGGGCTATTGTAGTACCCCATCTATCGTAGATGAGCATCTTGGTACCACCTAAATGTTGTTGAGCAGGTTCAATGAGATAACACACATAAAGTTGTCATCTTAGTGCCTCACAAAATGGGGAATAAAAGCTGGCATTTGTCTTGGAATGGAGGATTTAAGATTTGTATATATGCATTATTCCAAAAGAAGAAAAGTGTCTCCTGGTACTGAAATAAATCAACTGTTTATCAAATAAAATTATTTGTCTAGTATACATGTTGCAGAAGTGAGTGGCATGTGATTTTACAGAACTGTATTCAAAACCAGAGACACCAGGAAGCATTCTCATCTGATGTTTTCAGCAAGAACCAATATACATGACAGAAAGCTTAAACAGTAAAGGAGCAATCCTGTATTTAATTAGAACCAGCCATGACACGAACTTCACTTCCTAAGATAGCAAGTTGATTTTACAGAGAAGGTTTGAGTTTGTTTCTTTTTCCATTACTCATGACCTCAATCCTTAAGGAAATGACAATGAATTCTCCAACACTCGTTTGGTGGTGTCAGTGATAAATGATCAGAAATATTGCTGCTTCGGTCCCACTGTGTTTCTTATTGGTCCTTGCTGTTTCTTCCCCTGACTTGCTTCTCC